CCTCAGCCCTTAAAGGGGAAAGGTTGCCTACCCCTGCCATAAGGTATAAATTAAAAAGCATAGGTAGCCATATTGGCTCAAAGAATAATGCCAAAATTTGTATTAAAGTAATACTTTTATCATTAGAAATCTATATGTATTGTATTGTCCTTATTTATTTTATTGACCTTATACATGTTTTCATCCTTCTGGGCTTGTAAATCTACCCTTTGTGTAACGCTTTTGACATCCATTAATTTTGTGCTATCAATATATGGAAGTGTCTACAGGGATTGGAATGTCATGGAGTGTGGGTTGCAAGAATGGGTTCTGCTGCACTGTGTAACAATAGAAACTCTCCCATTTTTGCTAGCAGATTCTGGGTCAAAATTTGGTGATATTTGATGCAGCAGGCAGTGGGAAGATAGGGAATGAAGTGGTGTTTATTTAGACCTCTTTGAAACTAGTTTTGGATCTTCATAGTTGGGTTTTTAACATCAATTTTATTCACTTCAATACAAGTTCTAGAGCACTTGAAGTATTTTTCATCTCCAGAAATAATGGACAAGGAAGCACCAGAGAGATATTCTTGTTTTCCCCACTGCATTTCTACATTATATCCAAAGGGAGAACACTGTGAATGCTCATCTCCTTGTAGGGTTATACACTTCTCCCTTCCTCTAAAGAGTCAAAGAATAAGTGGATGATATTAATGAGCAGTGTGTTCTCTCTTACTACTTTTAAAGAATGTCTAGAGTGCACCTTACAAGAGATGATTTCCTTATTGCTTTTGTTAATATACATGCTGATTGGGTTACCCTAGCACAGGCTCACAGAGTTACCTCTCAGAGTTTTCCAAAATTTCCCTATTTCATCTTCACTCACATTTCATATTGCTAATTTTGTTGTTTTCTTGAATGGAGAACAAAAACTGATCACCTATCTGAAATAGGATTCTGTGAAAACTTGGTTCTGTTGCAGCACTGTTGAACTGGCTTTATTCTTTTACTTTCAGAAGCCTTCCTGATTCCCTCCCCTTTCTATGGAGGCATCACCCAAAGTGTGTTTCTGTATGGAAATGTCAAACTAGTCTATGTCTATTTAGACAGTCAGGTGAGAAAGAGTGGATACTTGCCACACTGTATAATCCTAGTGTACTTTCTGGCTACAAATCTTCTAATTTGATAGCACCGTTGGCTCTCTGAATCCACCAATTCTTTATCTATGGATTCAGGCATCCACAGCTTGAAAATATTTTATAAAAGTGTAAATTCCAAAACTGTAAAATCCAAATTCCAACCTTGATTTTAACATTTTATGTAAGGGACACCATTTTCCTATGCCATTGTATTTAATGGGCCTTGAGCATTTTGGTATCCACACAGGGTCCGAGAACCAAACAGCAGTTAACAAGGGCCCTCTATACACATGTTGGGTCTAGCAGAGGGGCGGGATATAAATAAAAATTATTATTATTATTATTATTCCACTCCTGGGGAATATTATATTTGAGTTGCTGAAGTGGCTGGCAGAGGATGTTATGGGTAGTGTGCACACAAAGCTTAAAAAAAGGTAAAGGTATTCCCCTTTGACAAGGTTGTCAAGTCATATCCAACCATAGGGGGTGGTGCTCATCTTTATTACTAAGTCAAAGAGCCAGTGTTGTCAGAGACTACTCTGTGATCATGTGGCCAGCATGATTACACAGAATGCTGTTTACCTTCCCACTGAAGTGGTACCTACCGTGTTTCCCCGAAAATAAGACACTGTCTTATATTTATTTTTCCTCAAGAAGACACACTATGGCTTATTTTCAGGGGATATCTTATTTTTATTAACTATTGGTGCTGGAGGAGAGAGACCCACAGTGCTGAGCCCAGAGCCTGGCTTTGTCCCAACTTCGCCCTGACGCTGTACGTCCATCTGCACAGCGTCAGAGTGCCCTCTTGGTGCAGTGTGCATACACACTGCACCAAAAGGCCGCAAAAGAGCCACTGCAGCGGCTCAAAGGGCGGCCCCGATCTGCCGCTTCCGGAGGCGGCCCAGAAAAGCCTCTCCTTCTTGACTGTCTGCATCAGCCCTGTGTCTTGTTTTCGGGATATGGCTTATATTGCACAAATACTTAGAAATTCTGCTACGGCTATTTTATGAGTATGTCTTATTTTTGGAGAAACACGGTATTTATCTACTTGCATTTGCATGCTTTCGAACTGCTAGGTTGGCAGAAGCTGGGACTAGTGACAGGAGCTCAACCCATCATGCAGCACCCGGGCCTCGAACTGCCAACCTGCCGATCTTGCAATCAACAGAGTCAGCATCTTAACCACTTGAGCCACTACATCCACAAGGGTTGGCATCCTGTTAATGGCATATGCAGGTGTAAATTAACCCTACATCTCTGTATGTCTTTATTTATTTGTTGCAAAGGCTGGTATTTGCCCTCTGCAATGACCAAATTCCACAACATACAGTTGAGCTGCTACAGTTTCCACCCATGGCCATTCTGTGGCTGATACAGAACAAGAAATGTCTTTCTGTGTCCCTTTGTCTATATACTAAATGTTGAGCAACATCATCTGCTGAGACCTCCAGAGGATCCCGCCAGATCTCAGTGCATGATGTAATTATTCTGTGTCTGTACATGGACATAGCTAGACACTTCTCTATTCTCCCTCTCTAGTCTCTACTATCCATGGAATGGCAACTGAATGGTAAGTCCAGAGGGTCTTGAACAGCCACATGTGGAACTATTGCACAATGCTTTGTCATATAGGAACTTGCTCAGGTTTGTTTAGATTTTTGGATAAGACAAATTATGTTTTGGTGTCTCTTTGATAAGAACCTTGTCAACCACTACCACATTATTTGCTGGATTTAAAAGGGATCTTGGCCACATTGAGATTAAAGGAATTTGGGTAAAGTACATTTACATATATAATACATATATATAAACTACAACCTCAGAAATAAGTCATATTACATCACTTATATATGCTTTCCCCCAGTTTATTCTGGTTAGAACTATGAGAATGAGCTTAATTGATGGTGATATTGACATGAATCCTGTTGTTAGTTCAAACTAAATCAAAGGAATTTGCCTACATGTTGACTGACCATTCAATAACTGATTCAATTGATGTACTTTAATTGGAACTAAGCAATAGGATTCAGGCCATAATCATTACAGAGTCATTCTTTGGTAAACCCCTCTGAGAATCTTAGCTGTATACAAGTATGAAAACTACAGTTGAGCTATCCTGGCACCTCTGAATAAGACTTGATGATCAGAATGTTACTAGTGTGGTTTATACATGATTACCTCCATAATATGTATTTGGATAAGTTTGAGTTAGATGTTATAAAGTTGCTGTGTGTTTTATGTGTGCACATTTATTTTGTCTTTTAAAATTGCACCTTTGTAGTCTTTTGCTTGTGTTTGGAACGGATTAGCAGTCTGTCATCTTCTTTACATTCCTATTAACACGTCCAGTTCCCAGTAAAAGATGAATTCCAGCCTCTGTTAATAGCGGCTTTACATGATATCACCTGGAAGTGTTTTAACAATATTTTTTTATCCTGTTAATGTATAGTTGAAGGGAATAGAGTCATGACTTGGCTTCTTGCTGTATGAAACAGCAATAGTTCTTGTTTGGTTCAGAAAGGCTATCATGGGGAATTATTCATTGCACTGTTTGGTAATGTTCCAGATCACTGGCACATGCACCCGTCCATTCCAGCTCACTGTGGATAAGCTCAGGAAGGCCTTGCAGGATGCACAGTCAGAGGTGAGTTTGAGAAGTCTTACAGTTTTCGTGTCTAATTGTTTAGCTGATTTTGGTAGTGTTTCATGTTTTCAGAATGTGATGGACAATTAACTTTTACAGGGATAGTGTTTGGAATGTATTGACTGTCAGAGAGGTAGCAACATTGGGTCACTCCACTGTCATAAGTCCAAATTAATTGAGAAATGCCAAAGAGCTTTTACAGCCTCCTTTCCCCCAATTCCTTTTCATAAACATACTTTGGCACAACCTTACTATTAAAGTTCCCTTGAGTATTTCAATATATGTTATTGTTATAAGAATTCCCTCTCCATTCAACCATGTGTGTTGCATATATACAAAAACACCCTCCACCATGTATATGCATATATACAAAGACACACACACAGCCTGTACATTGCAGGATAACATCTTCTATGTCTGATGGTGTGGGATGTGATCTACAAAAGTGAATATGTTGGTCTTTAAGAAGCCACAAGATTTTTAGCTGTTTCCAATATAGAGGACTGCTAAATTCTGTACAGACCAAACTCTCCCAAGATAAAAGAGATTTCTTGATAGGCTATATTATGTTACAGTCCTTGAATTTTGTGTGCATAGTTTTTTTAATTACTCTGATGATCTGGTTTTTTTTTTTGTTTTTGTTTTTTTAATTCTAGGGTGTTAGGGTAAAGGGTTTAATTCTCCTGAATCCACAAAATCCCTTGGGGGACATTTATTCTCTCTCAGAGTTACATGGCTTCCTGGAATTTGCCAAAAGGTATGACAATCTTAGAAACTCAAATAGACAAAATATCTTAAGCTGCCTAATCTGTTTGAAGTGTGTGTGTGTTGTGTGCCTTCAGGTTGTTTCAACTAATGCACCCCTAAGATGAATCTATCATTAAATGTCTTATCAGAGTTTGTTCAGAGAGCATTTGCCATTGCCTTCCTCTGAAACTGAGAGAGGTCCAAAACACACTGCAGAAATAATCCAGTTTGAGACCACTTTAACTGTCTTGGCTCAGTGCTAGAGTATCTGGTAATTGTA